CACCTTATATAACTTTTTGGGTCAAATTTTAACTTGATTTAAAGTACAATAAAAAAATTAACGTTAAAATCAAAAACGAAGTCCAAACCACTGTCACTGTTGTCTGTTTCGGCAATTCTAGACATCATCAGACTTTTGTCAGAAACAGCTGTTCGTTTGACTTTATATATAAAATAAATGGCATTAAAAATTGGTCCTAATTTTTAGAAAGTGTTAAATATGTCAAAAACCTTATAATTTAGTCATAATCTTCTCTACTAAAACTCACCTTTATTTTTCTCCTAGAATCCGAAAATCAATTAATATATAAGGTGTTCCAATACAAAAAAACACAAGTTTGACGTGTAACTTTTTTTGAGGACACCTGTAGAACTATCTATATTTTTAAAAAATGCTCTAAATTAAAATACATATGGTTACAAATTTTCATTTCAATACAAACTGTTGTTCTACTTCGAGCTTTCGAGTCGTATGAGAGGATCCACCCTGTATAGTATAATGTAAAATGGGACATATTCAGCTGCTAAAGCATAGTGAAAAAAGAAAGCGAATTTTATTTCTAGAACTCACTAGTAAAATTTTAAAAGTCCAAGTAGAATGTAGAATGTTTAGGAGGGGAGTTAATCACCGCGACCTAACATATCTATTGTGTGTTCCCCTTTCTTGAGTTATAACGAGTTATAACTCATCATACAGTCTCAAGGCTTTGACAAAAGCCAGTATCTGAGACGGCTCCACAGAGGCCAGCCCTCCATCCTCGACATCAGCCGTATCAAAGTTCATGGCACGAATGATCGTCGTCTCGGCGCACTCAGTGATAAGGTGTTCTGGTGTTTCCCCATCTTTCCCACAGAATCTGCATTCGCCGCTGTTGATCAGCTTCAGTCTACTGAGGTGTTCGTTGAGGAGACAGTGTCCTGTTAGAAACCCCGTGACAATGCGAAGATTATTTCTACTTAAATCAAGGAAAACCTTTGATTTTTCTAGGTCGTAAGTTCTGAGGAACTTTTTCGAGTGTCTTGGAGGATACCCATTCCAAGTTACGAATAGAGTTTTGCAGATTATTCAGTTCCGCTTTCAGTTGGTTCCCGTTTGGAAAACAAAACGGTTATGGTCCAGTTAGTGGAGTGTTCTTTTCCTAGCTAGATCTTTGCTTTTTCATTGCCTTTTATCCCTTGGTGAGCAGGCACCCAGAGTAGGATGACTTTATTTTCTTTGCCTAATTTGTTGAGTTTCTCTAGGCATTCTTTGACAAACTTCGAATTTATGGTTACTGAGTTGATCGCGTTTAGTGCTGCTTGACTATCGGATAGGATGGCAATTTCCTGTTTTCGATAGTTCCTATCTAAGATAAATTGTACGCATCTTTCGATAGCGTAAATTTCTGCCTGAAGGATACTGGGGTAGGTACCTATTGGTTCGGAGTATTTGGTTTTCGGCCCAAATACCCCTATCCCTGTCCCTGCTTTGGTTTTGAAAGCATCAGTATACCATGTTATGGTATGGCCTTTTATATGCTGAGTAAGGTGTTTCTTCCTTCCCAATCCTTTTTATTACTCAATACTACAGTGAGGTGTTTCTCAAAGTTGTAAATTCTTTGTATGTCATCCCCTGGGAGTTGGAGTGTAATTTTCTTTTTGAGGGTGTTCCATGCCCCTGACCTGAAGTCCAAGTAAAATCAAAGTTTAAAATGAAGTCCGAAAATAGTTATGGAACTTTTATTGGCGTTGTATTAATAAATCGGTGAATGTGAGCTTTTACTAGAATTATGAACATTCACTGATTTTTGTGTTTTACTGTAACATATATTTTTATTAAATATCGATAATATTATTAAAAATAATGTATTATTATCCTAATTAAATTAGGATAAAAATATCTAATATATATATATATATATATATATATATATATATATATATATATATATATATATATATATATATATATATATATATATATATATATATATATATATATATATATATATATATATATATAGGGTGTTCCATTGAAAAAATATAGGTTATATCAATAATTATGAAACTGGACTGTGTATGTTATTTTTGGTAATGCGTACCTACTAAAGTTTTGCTAAAAACTATATTTTTATTTCTAAAAAAAGGGAAGCCTTAGCTTAAAAAGTAACAAAAGTAAAAGTTTGACAAAAGTGGGTCAAATTGACATATAACACTCTACATTATGAGTTAATAATTCGTATTATTTACTTTAAATTCTAGTCCAGTCCAGTTCAAGACAAATGGAACAAAGTTCACAGATCATGCCAAAGTGTACCAGCTTTTTTTGTGGAGGAGATAATTTTTGAAAAACTGAAGAAAGGGCGAACAAGTAACCCTGCCTGACAATTTCGGTCTCCATGCTCATTGCATGCTTGAGAAACTTGGATTGCAAAACAGTCAGGGTGCAGTTCAACGCAACGCACTTGAACAAATCGTCAGAAGCAATATCCGAGATGCTTCTCAAGCAAACAAGGTTATAGATGAATGCTTTGTAAACAAAGGAACTAAAGAAGAAACGGCTCTTGAATTGTTCGGTTGTCTTGGCAAAAACAAAGTTAATATTGGACAGCTTTAATGTTTTGATAACAATAAATAGAATGTTTTGGTAATTTAAATTGTTGTTTAATTATTTGTATCAACAAAGACAAAAATCTATATATACAGGGTGAGTCTTAAATAAGTGCAAATATTTTTAGGGGTAGTATTTCGGCCTAAGAAGTACGATTATAAGGTTTTATTGTGGAAAAAAATTGAAAATTTCGAATTTTTTTGAAACATATTTTGGATTTTTTTTAGTTTTTAGTTAAAAAACACAATTTCTTGAGAATATGGCAATATACAGTATGTCCCCGGATTATTTTTGCAAGAGGAAAAACTTTTTAATTATTGATATTTTGAGAAAAATGCATTCTTTATATAATTTTTTGCTTGTTCTAAAATGTTTAATGCCGTTTAATACTTTATCAAATTTCCATACCGTTTTAGAGAAAGTTAAACATCCTAAAGCTTCATTCAGAACCTCGCCATTAGTGGAATAAATAAGTGGTTTCAATCGATTTTCAAGAACTTTGTTCCTTTATTTTCAATATAAGCATTCAGAACGTCAAAATTAGTGGTAGACATGTTCAATTAGTAAAGAAAGTTATCAAACTTTTAGCTTTTCTACTAATTATATTTCAAAATTTGCGAGGAATGTCATTTTGGCCTTTGATTACCACCCGTCAAGAAGAATTTTGGTTAGAAATCAAAAGTTTATTGTTTTATAAGCTAAATATTATGCTTTCTCTATGGATACAACAGACTACCGCAAGCTGTTGTTAGGATATTCTATTAATTTTAATTGTGTTTTTTAGACATTGTGAATGATCGTAAACTAAAAAGTATAAAGTGTAATTGGAACCACTAATTTATTCCATTAATTGGAAGGTTCTGAATGAAGCTCTAGAAAAAAATTCAATAATATTTTAATATTTTTTAATTTACGGTATGGAAATTTGGAAAATTATAAATGGGCCAATTTTTTAAACGCCATTTTAGAACAAGCAAACATTTTTATGAAGAATGCATTTTTCTCAAAATGTCAATAACAAAGTTTTCCTCTTGCAAAGACAATCTGGGAATATACTGTAGGTAGTTGATTAAAATTGCAGGAAAAAAAGCCAGAAAAGATTCAAAGGTTCTCAAAATTTAAGAAAAAAGTCATTTTCTTGGAAATTTTTAGTAAAATAACTCGGTTATTTTGGACTTATGAATATTTTGGATATGAAAAACAGAAAAAATGTGGTACCTAATTTAGCAACAGCAAAATATACAATGCTAATCTATATTAACAATAAACATCTATGCCATCTATCGAAGAGTGAAATTGAAATAATATTGCCATAGAACTGCTTTTTGGTTTTCAGGATTTTGAAAAAATTCACAGACATTTTCATGTTTTTTAATTTTTTTTCTCAAACGGAATGGAAATTTGGAAAATTATAGACGAGATTAAACATTTTAGAAAAAGCAAAAATGTTTATGAAGAACGCATTTTTCTAAAAACATTAATAACAAAAAAAGTTTTTCCTCTTGTAAAGACAATCCGGGGACATACTGTAGAAGATGTTTATAAAATTAGATTAGAATATTAACTAGAATTTAAAAATGTAATAACGTTGATAACATTGTATTTAAAGAACAAAAATATGAATTGTTATTAGAAAAACTGTGTCTGAATTCGGAATCCCCGATTATCAATATACCGCATGTCCAAAATCTCAAAAAACCTAGTATTACTTGTCTTTGAGATATTTAGCCGAGTCTAGACTTTCGGCTAATAATATCTATTTCCGAAGTCTCTTTTTTAGATTCAAAATAATTTCACCCTAATTCATGTCCTGACTAAATGTCTTTTTAAACTTATGCCCTTTGCATAAAACAAATTATAAAATCAACAGAAAATTTTATAAAATAAACGCAGATAAAAGCTTAACAAGTCTATAAACACTGAATATAAAAATAGTATTTGATTTCCTTCTTAGTCTTTTTATTTAATGATATACAGGATGTCCCAGGCTCTGTGTGCATTAGGAGTTTCTAGAGAACTACAATACCTAGATCGGAGATTTTTGCACATCATTGATTCACAACGAGATCTATAGATAAAAATATTTTCAATATGGCGGCACTTCCGGAAATAATAATAATAATTAAAAATTTATACCAAAGAAAAAGTTATAATAAGAATTATAATCTTTCAGTGAAAAAATATATATCTACCATATTTTTGTTAGAGGTACGAAAATATAATATATGGATTTTAATTTAGATTATCAACATTAGACAACTTTTTAAAGTATCGCAAAGAAAGAGAAAAAAAAACGTTAAAACGAAATATTTAAAATGAGTGGCATTCGTTACAAATAAAAAAATATTACAAACCAATAAATAAAACAAAGGTCACAAAAAAATATTAGGCACCAAAAAATAAAACAAAGGTCACAAACAAAAATTTAATATTTTACAAATAAAATAGTTTAATGATGATGACCGTGATCGTGAGATTTTAAATGTTCGCTTTTAAAAACATGGTTCTTTCTCAAACAAGCATCGATACTTAATGCGGTTTCTTCTAAGTTATCTTTGGCCACGGAGCATTCGTTCAAAATGCTTTCTACTTTAGCCTCGTCCTGAATAACATGCTGAATGTGAGTTTTAATTCCCTCCTTGTTGACCTGCCCATCGCTGGTGATGATATTGAGTCCCTTGTTCATGCACAGCACGTGTTTTCCAAAGTTATCTGGCAGGTCTACGTGTTCGTTCTTGAGAAGTTTTTTGAAGACTTCGTCATCTACATGTGTTTCGGGATTGTCTTGGCATCCCTTGTGAACATGGCCTATGCCATGTACGTCTCCATGATGTTCATGCTCTTCGGCCTTTAAAATAACGACCAAGTGTAAAATAATATAGATACAATGCATTACAAAAGGTTCGTAATAAATATGATCAAAATCAATTAGTGAATTAACAATTACTAGTTTAACAATTACTGATTATTAAATTCAGCAAATCCAAATTCAAAAATATCCTGACATATTTATTTTAAAACTAAAACAATCGTTTCTTTAAAAAAATCTTGATATTTCGGATTTTCCCCCGTTGCATCGTCAGAAGCAAAAAATCTAAAGAAAAACCATTCTAATTATCTAAATGTAATTACTACGAGTATAAACTTTAATTTTTCTAGTACAGACATGTATATCATAACATTGTGATATCGTTAACATTGTGATAAGCTGACAATATACATAAAATCAAACTTCCAATCTTCAAATTCATAATAATACCTGAAGAAACTATAAGCTGAACAAAAGAATAGGTACTTATGATACTTATAACTTTGAGAAGGCTTTCGACTCGATATAGGTATACGAAGGCAATAAGAGAAGTTCTAGCGAATCAAGGTATTGACAGGTCTTACATCTCGTCAATATACAGGGTGGTCCGAACTGTATTCCGGAAACATCGGCAGCATATTCTGCAGATAAAAATAAGTAAAAAAGTTCGTATAAATGTATGTCCCAAAATGCTTAGTTTCGGAGATGTTGGGTGTTGAAGTTTCATTTTTATTTTGATTTTGTCCAAATAATTTCTGAAGTAACGTTAATATTTGGATAAAAATTGATGTCTGGGAGTTTTTTTACATGAGAAATTTGATTTTGATGTCAATGTGACTCTTACTTGTAGAGGGCATAAAACCTACATATTTTTTAACTTGTTTGAAGAGTAATAGCTTTTCGTCCGTACCTGTATAAAACTACCGAGTAAAAAAAATATAAATTTACGACGTTTTTTACGTAAAAAAAGTCTCTTTGTGAAAATCGCTACGAGTTATGGTTCTCGAGATATTTGGAATCGAAATTACCAATACCTGTCGTCATTGATATAAATTAAACATGTTGACTAAATAGTTATTAGACATTATTGTTTTGGTGCCAAAAGTTCAACAGAAACTGAAAATCACCAATTTTTGAAGAAAAATTTATGATTAATATAAAAAAATAAAAAGTTCCCAAATTTTACCATTTTAGTCAAATAACTATCTACACAACACGATCAACACGTTTGTTTTTTGTCAATAATGGCATGTATTGACTGTTCTCATTCTAAATATCTTGAGAACGGTTGCTCGTAGCGATTTTTCCAAGAGACATTTTTTACGTAAAAAAACACGTAAATGTATATTTCTTCACTCAGTAGTTTTATACAGGTACGGACATAAAGTTATTACTCTTCAAAACAGTTAAACTACGTGTAGGTGGCGCCCACTACAAATAGGAGTCATATTGACATTAAAATCAAATTTCTCATGTCAAAAAACTCCCAGACCTACCAAAACCAACTTTCATCCAAATATTGACATTACTTCTGAAATTATTTGGCAAAAATCGAAATAAAAATGAAACTTCTACACCCTGTATCTCCGAAACTAAGCATTTTAGGGCATACATTTATACGAACTTTTTTACTTATTTTTATCTACAGAATGTGTTACCGAAGTTTCCGGAATACAGTTCGGACCACCCTGTATACAAAGAAGCCAAAGCAAGTGCAAATACCGTATGATCGAATAAAAACGGCGTCAACGATGGCTATGAAATGAAGATCGCTGTCATTTTATATGTAAAATTTTATGGGAAATGTCATCGATCGTCATTTCCAAGCCAACGGGAAGCCGTTTTTTTTCGATCATACGGTATATATATAAAACAACCCCAGAGTTTCAACTGGCAAAGGAGTACGACAGGGAGACGCAATATCTCCAAAACTGTTTACAGCAACACTAGAAGAAATCTTCCGTCAACTAGACTGGACCAACAAAGGATTAAAAATAGATGGAGAATATCTTAAACACCTAAGTTTCGCTGATGACATTTACTGTCCTCCATTCGCGAATTTCAAGTTCCAGAGCTTTACGCCCTGGGCTACTCAGAACGGTTCTGAAAGGAGCTGTGCGCGATAGCCTGGTGCCTCCATATGGCGCGAAACAATTCTAAACTTTATGACTCAATTGAATGGAGGGAGAGTATAGCGTTCTTGAACAGTTCAGAGCTGCACAACTGCGTGAATGGAGGACAGTAATAGTCCTAATAGCCAATAGTCTTGAAGAACTACAAATACAAATTAACCAACTTACATTACTTACTTAAATTAACAACCATACAGCCAGCAATAAAGTAGATTCCAAAATGAATTTAACAAAAACTAAAGTAATGTACAACGAACTAGTAGACAGAAAAGACATTCTAATAAATAACACAAAATTGGAAATAGTAGAAGAATATATATATTTGGGACAAATCATACACACCCCGAAATCAACCGAAGAATTAAGTTAGCCTTAGATTACGTATGGAATCTAGAATGCTAATTTATGTAAAGAAGAAAACATTCAACCAATATGTACTACCAGTCATGACCTATGCATGCAAAATCTGCACTCTTAAAACGGATATTATAAGAAAAGTGCAGGTCGCACAACGCTCAATGAAACGAAATATGCTGGAAATAACCAAAATAGACCGTAAAATAATAGAGTGGATATGACAAAAGACCCAGGTAATAAATGTCATCCATAAAATCAAATCTCTCAAGTGGCAATGGGCAGGACACCTGGCAAGGAGGACGGATAACGGACCACAAAAATTACAGTATGGTAGCCACGCGAAATTAGCAGACCTAGAAGAAGACCGCACCTGAGATGGGACCAATGATATTAGAAAATTAGCATGGGTAACTTGGGCCCGCCTAGACAACAATAGACAACAATGGGCCCAACTACAAAGAGAGTATGTGAGAGAAGCTACACCATAATTGAAAATGGTTGAATAAGCTGAGAGTAATGATGATGCTGATGATGACGATGACCAGAAGAAAACAGATACCTAATTAAGTAAGCATGCAAAAATCTGAAAATGTCTATATGAGTAAAGTATTCTTGTAGTCGTTTACATTTAGATATTTTGAGTTTTTTTTTTCAAAAAATGAATCCGCCACGATGTTATAGACATTATTAAAAGAAATCTTTTTTGCATATGAAAAGGCTGATGTTATACATACGAAGAAATATGAAAAGAAAATTATAAAAAAAATGTAAAAGATCAGACTTCTTCAGAATTCTTGCCAACCTTGTAACAATAATACCAATTTTGAAAAAGTTACAGAAAAAATAATTATTTGAAACTTACTTAGGCTTTTGACACAATTAAAAAAAAATAAATATAATAAAAATGAGACCTAAGAGAGTAATATTCTACAGAAAACAAAAGCCGCAAGATTATTAATTTTAACATTTTTATGAGCTAATGGTTTTCTTATTAATTTATAGATGATTGGGCCATTTCTAGTAACACAAAATGTAGTTTTACAACTCTGTAAAGACATCCAGCTTCAGTTATAAAAATTTAATAGTCGTATAAAAGAGAAAATTTATAGAGCAAGTTATAGGCGACCCATTAAAGAATCATGAAACATAAAATGTGACACAATAAACTTGAAATATATTTAATAAAATATATAAACACAGTATTTTTAGAAAGAAAATTTATACCAAGTGCGTCTCAAAAGTGGCTCACTCCTATAACTTTTTTATTCTTTCAGATAAAAATCGAATGTTATATGACATAAATTAGGATTGATTGACGTATTCAATTGTTTTCGGTCACTTCCTGTATCACCGAAAATAACTACAACTTTTGATATTAAAATTATTGTACCCTGGAGATTTTGTTACTTTATTCGATAGAAAATAACACTCTGAATATAATGACATATCAAATCTCAATTTTTGACATTTTCGCATATGGTTTATTTGAAGTTGCAACATCCTATTTATAACCACATTTTGACTCGAAATACCAAGTATGTGGTACCAAGTTATTAATAAAAAAATTATATTAAAAAAAATATAAAAAAATTAACCGGCTAGGACAAGACACTAAAAACATTAGACGATCAAATTTATTTTTCTAAGGCTCCTTGATTAAAAATTAGTGTTTTTAACACAGCCATGGTACTCTAGATTGAATTTTAAAATACAATTTTGTTTAAAGCGAAAATGTTAAAAATTGACATTTGATATGTCATTCTATTCAGTGTATTTATTGGTGGAGGGCCAATAAAGATCTCTAAAAAATAAATTTGTTTTAAATTACTTGCCAAAACTATAAAAAAACCAAGTGTCAATAATTAGCATATAATATACACTGTGTCAATTTTAAAAGTTCCCACCCTTAATATCTTTCTCGGAGTTAAAAATATGAAAAATCGGAAAGATACGTCAATTTTATTTGTAAAGGGGACACTTTAAATTAATATTTTGAGCCTTTTTCTTTCAACCCCCTAGGAGGGGTAGATGCTACCCTTACAATCTTAAATGGGAATCAGGGTCAAGTGGCACATCATTTTAAAGGGCGTTTAATTCTCTTTTCAGTAGTATCCTACTTTGTTGCTTTTTGTCCAGAGGTTTCCGAATAATCGTGTTTCAAAATTGCAGAAACAATTAAACATGCCTGCATTGAGATTTTGGTTTTCAGGCTAGTGTTTACACAAAAATTATTGTAACGGATCTCCTTGTAGTACAAACGATTAGAAGATTAGGTTACACCACTTACGCCCTATTTTACAAGTTGTTTAAAATGTTGTCCATTTCCCTGTAAACAATAATAAAGTCTGTTTTCAAACTCCTCCCAAAAATTTCGGAAAACTTCACCGGGAATTGACCGAAATTCTTGTAATTCGCCTTGTATATTTTTTTTTGCAAAAAGATCATCAACATCGGTAGGTTGTGTTTTATAAAAAATGGATTTAAGATGTCCCGAAAAGAAAGAAGTCTACGGGTGTTAAATCCGGTGATCTTGGAGGTTATTCAATTGGCCCCCTTCTTTTAATCCCGAAATCTCTCGTACCCCGAAATCTCTCGTTTAGCCACTATCGGACCGGAAGAAAATAATGAGGCCACCGTCCTTCTGGAATGTTAATAAATTTTCCTGTAAAACTGGATTACCCTGGGCATCAATTTAAGTTTAAAACTCTTGGGTGATAAGATGGTCAATAGTCTCTTGAAGCATATTAAGATACAGATCACCTGTCAAGTTTCCTTCTTACCGTTGTTCCGACCAGTAACGACATTTAAAAGAATACCAATCCAAACATTAACTTTTTGGGGATATTGTGTATGTCCTTTATGAAAAATATGCGGGTTTTCGTCACACCAATAATGGAATTTGAGAAAAGAAACGTTAATGTTTATGTTTTCTGTTTATTAGTTCTTCGACTCCTCTAGAAAAATGTAATGGCTACGTCCATGTTGCATTCTAATCTTCTAATGATCTGTACTACAAAGAGATCCGTTGCAAAATTTTTGTGTAAACACTAGTCTGAAAACAAAAATTTTAATCCATAGGCATGTTTAATTATTTCTGCATATTTGAAACGCGATTATTCGGAAACATCTGGACAAAAAGCAACAAAGTAGGATATCACTGAAAAGAAAATTAAACGTCCTTTAAAACCATGTGCCACTTGACCCCCATTTCCATTTAAGATTGTAAGGGTGGCATCTGCCCCTCCTAGGCGGTTGAAAGACGTGAATTGACTTGTCTTTCCGATTTTTCATATTTTTATCTGCAAAAAAGATATTAAGGGTGAGAAGTTTTAAACTTGACACAGTGTATGTACCAGTGACTAGGTTAAACTGCAAATTACTAGCAAAATAGCAATGCCAATTACTAGGTAGGTTTGCTAATAACTAACAAAATCGGGAATAACTAACAAAATGCAAAAATAATATTGCAAGCATAATTTAAAAAAAAAACATTTCGTAATTAAAATAGAATAAAAAAATATTGTTTCATTAAGATAAATTATATTAGAGTAAATTAAAAAGATCCGGAGACAGAAAAAATATTTTTTCAGATTCCGTTAGATAAAATATAACCGTATATGTACTTAAAGTGGCATTAACTGGGTGTTTTATCATAGTTATTATTTAAAAAAAAAATTGTAGTTTTGTTTGTCTTCTAATAACGATTCAACCGTTAGTTTATATAATTTTTAAATTTTTTATATTTTGCTGCTAGAATAAAAATCTACACGGGCCACTAAATTTTTGTCATAAATTTCGTTTTTTTAATTTTCACACACTTAATATCCATTTCCTAAGGAAATGCATAATATAAAGAATTCTATATATAGCTTTTACCTACTATTATTATTAAAGTTTCTAAAACAGAAAGAAAAGAAAAACCCTCAAGTGCCTAATCCCGCGGAAACCTTGGGCGTTCTAATAAATGTCAGCTTTGTATCTTTGGTGTTCTTCGAGATTAAACTTACCAAAACGACAAGAAGGAGTGCACTAACCGCCACAAAGACTTTCATTTTGCTTTGTTGTATTTACCGTCAACTTTTAGGCTTTACGGAAACTAATAAACGGAGCCATTCATTCGCATCTTTATTTATAGAATGAAGAATCGTTTACCGATGTTTTATCTAGCTCAAGTTCAAAGTTTATCTGATTTGTTTGTTACCATGGAGCTGCGGCAATCTTAATTATTCTCTGAATTGTAAAATGCATCTTGAAATTCATTTGAATCATAACAAATAATGTTGATGAACGCCCATCGAAAATAGATAAATAAATACTGTGGCTTGTGCCTAATTAAAAAGCTGTTAAATTAATTAATCATTGGTATATTGTAATCAATCAGCATAGCAAATTTATTTCACAATTCTTTAATCGCTTGTAACAAAAATCATTATAGGAACTAGATAAATTACATAAAGCCGGAATGTACATATTAAACTAATAAATCTGTGATCTTAAAGTAATAAATAATGATCTTTTATTAAATTACATATATTCTATGTGTGCAATAATCGCAATAGTAGTTAGTTAGTGCTTGATATTTTAATTAATATGTCATCTTTTACCTTGCTTGTAAGAATAATACAATTTGCCATAAAACTATATTTTTAATTTACTGAAGATTTGATTTTTAATTATTGAAGAAAATCATTCTATTTTATGCAGTACCCAAACCAACGTATTGGGGTTCGATAATATTAATTCTAAAATGCTAAAACTTCGTAGTCTTTTCATTAATCATATAATTTTGCATATTATAAAGAGTATCATTAAAAATTGTTAATTTCCTTATAGAAGATAACCATCGGCATTCCTAAAATTAACAACCCTAAAATTCATATATGATAGCATAATCAGCATTCTACCTACTTTGTCTAAAATTTTAGAAAGAATACTATATAACGAAATGTATGAATATTTTACAAATAAGAAAATTATACCCGACTCACAATGTGGTTTTAGGACAACAATTGGTAAAAGTCACAGTTTTGACTACAGTTTTGGATGATATCGTAAAGGCCTGTGATGAGGGAATGATAAGCGTACTTGTCTCGGTACTTGTGTTACTAGACTATTTTAAGGCTTTCAGAACCTTAGATCACAATCTCAACTTGAACTTGACGCTTTGATGGAAATGCCATTTTTGCGTGATCGTTCACATAAGGTTGTTTGTGATTGTTCTGAATTATCTAGCCATTAACGCATATCATCTGGTGTACATCAGGAATCTATCTTATCGCATTTGCTTTTTATTTTCTATACCATTGATATTATCACATCTTCTAATTATTGTACTACCCAAGCTTACGCAGACGATAAGCTTTTTTATTCATTCGATCCCTTGGATAGTACTAGCAGGCTAGACAAAACATTAAATCCGATTTAGGACCTTAAAGACATTTTCAGAACAACATAACTTATAATTAAACTTAGACAAATCTAAAGTAATGTGTTTTGGTATTAGGCATAGGTCAAAAAGATGTTTAGTTTAGAATACCAAATTTTGCAGGTCTTCTTATAGATGAGGATTTGCACTTTGATGGACATACCGGGTACGTCTTAAAAGTGGCTCACTCCTATAACTTTTTTATTTTTTTCAGATAAAAAAAACAAGATTTGGTATATTAGTATATGATATAAATTAGGAATGATTGACGTATTTAGTTGTTTTTGGTCACTTCCTGTTTTATCAAAAATGGCTACAACTTTTGATTCTGAATAGAATGACATATCATATGTCAACTTTTGACAATTTCGCTTTGAAAAAAATGTATTTCAAACTTCAATCTAGAGTACCATGGCTGTTTAAAACACTAATTTTTAATCAAGGGGCTTTGGAAACATAGATTTGATTGGAAAAGCATTTTTTACGAATAATTTGGTACCACACACTTGGTATTTCGAGTCAAATTGTAGTTCCATCTCCGTCTTTATCAAATCATCTGCGAAAAAGTCGGAAGTTGAATATGATATGTCATTCTATTCAGAGTGTCATTTTCTATCGAATAAAGTCAAAAAATACTGAGGGTGCCATTTATAAATCAAAAGCGAAAATTATGTCAAATCGCCTGCACCCTCATATAGAAAAAATCCTTCCAGAATCGCAAACGGGTTTTCACACCAACCGTGGCACCGTTGATTCCATATTTTCCATCCGCCAACTACAGGAAAAAGTAAAAGAGCAGCAGTCTAAACTTTATGTTGCATTCATCGATCTAACAAAAACCTTCGACTTTGTGAACAGAGATGCACTTTGGGCAATTATGAAAAAGTTCCGAGTACCCAACAAATTTCTTACACTGTGTAAAAGCCTCCATAACAACAACCAGTCAAGAGTGTCACATCATGGATCACTGACCGATCCCTTCCTGACAAATACAGGAGTTAGGCAGGGATGTGTCTTAGCGCCTCTCCTATTCAACATATTCATGGCAGCGCTCTCCATTATAGTGGACAGCAAACTGCAGGAGAGAGGATTGGGCATTAGATACAGATATGGCGGCGGTCTGTTCAATAAAAATATAAAAAGACTCAGGGCAAAAACACGTACAAAATTCATCACAGAACTTCAATACGCTGATGGCTGTGCTCTGATTGCAAACACGTTACAACAATTACAAGAAATGTTGAACACATATACCTGGGCATATGAGGCTTTGGGCCTTAAGCTAAACATTGACAAAACCAAAATCATGTGCACTCCCCCGGAAGATCATAACAATGCTATAAAAATCGGAAAAGAACTATTGGAATATATAGCGGAATTTAATTACCTCGGCAGTTTGATTTCGGAAAAGGCCAATATCGACTCTGAAATTCAGTACAGGATTAGCAGCGCCTCAGGAGCATTCTGGAAATTAAAAGACAGGGTTTTCTACAATCATGACCTGAGTACAAAAACGAATCTTGCAGTGTACCGAGCAATTATAATCCCCACCATGTTATATAGGAGCATAAGTTGCAACAGAGACACCTTAGACAACTTTTAAGAATCCGGTGGTTGCATCATGTCTCAAACGTATCGGTCCTTGAAAAAGCTAATTGCGAGTGTATTGAAGTCATGGTTCCAAAATCTCGCTTTAGATGGGCTGGCCACGTATGCAGAATGCAAGAAAACCGCATACCAAAATCTCTGCTTTACGGTGAGCTTGTAGACGGTAAGAGGAGGCCGGATGGACAATTCAAGAGGTACAAGGACATTTTCTACGAAAACTTAAAGGGGATTAACATGCAGAATCATTAGGATGAAGCAGTTCACAATAGAACTCAATGGAGAAGAATTGTAAACTCAGTTAACAGCGACAACCAAAAAGTAAAGAGGCAACAAAGCAATGAGATTTTTGAATGTCCGGATTGCTGTAGACAAATAACATCACGTACCGGGCTTTTCAGTCACAGAAAAGCTCATGAAAGAAAACGCCTTGCGTGACCATCTTTTGATGCGTGTCGAATACTCGTCAGCGAGTAATGGCAGTATGTGTATATGTATGTATGTATGTATAAATCAAAAGTTGTAGTCATTTCCGATGATACAAGAATCTTCCTGTAAACAGGAAGTGACCAAAAATAATTGATTACGTCAATCATTCCTAATTTATGTCACATATGAACATACCACAATTCGTTTTTTTTATCTGAAAATATAATTAACTGGTATGCACCTGGTATACAGGCATTGATCATAAACCAAAAAAAAATTAATATAGATATTGATCTCATCACTTAAGTAATTTTAGTCATAAGATAATAAGCTCACTATATTATTCAATAAAAATTGCTAGACTATCGCACTTGTTCTGCCGTTTCTTGGTAGAATTTGCACATGATGTCTGTTAATTTGGCTTCAAATGTTTATTAAACTTGCAATGCTCTGTTAGTAGACCAGGTTTTAATAGTTTTCCTATATTTTCTTGCAAATTTAAGTATGCCACAAATTTTGGAAAGTGCATTACTATGGACATTTTCATATGCCTTTGCCCTGGTCACATTTTCCACCATTCTGGAAATTGGACCCACAACTCTTTTCTGGCTACTCTTTACACAGAGTTCTGGAACAATGAATGAACTTGATGAGCTTTGTTTGTTTTTTTTATCATATGTTTTTCTTTGAAGTTTTTGTTTTTATCATATGTCATATGTTTTTCTTTAAAGTTTTTTTCCAGAAAAATTCATAACATAATATCCTGCTTTTATAGTTCCCATAAACTAAGCTAAGAAAATCTAAACTATACTCGTATATCTATCAGATTTATAAATGTATATACTATAATTTTTAATCTGCAAAGTTTATCTGAGAGCTTTTTGCTTGTGTTTTAAAATTAACCTGCTTAATATTCTTTTGTTTTATGTTGTGTTTGCCATTGAATATAAAACACGAAACGTTTTTTTATTGCTTAATAAAATCTGCCAAATAGAATAATACAGCTCCGCAATACGAAGGTTATGTTTAGAGATAAGTATTTTATAACCCCTTTTTTATTTTTGAAACAGGTTAATTACAATTCCATGTACATAGAAGCTTGTAAGTGGAATGAATTGGGCTATTTTTATGTTAATTTTTCTATCTCTATTATATTAACTTGTTCAAATCATTTAAAAAATTAATAAGAAGTTACATTGGAAACAATTACAAAAATTAGTATCAAATAATAATTACAGTTAGGCTTCGCTTCCAAAACCAAAACAGGGACAGGGATAAAAGTATTTTAGCCGACAACTAAATACTCCGAATCAATAGGCCCGTACCCCAGCGTCCTTCAGGAAGAAATCTACGATATCGAAAGATGCGTTTAATTTATGTCAGATAGGAACTATCGAAAACAGGAAATAGCCATCTTATCCGATAGTCGAGAAGCTCTAAACGCGATCAACTGAGTATCCATCAATTCGAAATTGGTCAAAGAATGCCTAGAGAATCTGAACAAATTAGGCAAAGAAAATAAAGTCCTCCTACTCTGGGTGCCCGCTCACCAAGAGATAGAAGGCAATGAAGAAGCAAATGATCTAGCTAGAAAAGGGGCGAACACTCCACTAACTGGATTAGAACCGTTCTGTTTTCAAAACGGAAACCAACTAAAAGCGGAACTGAAAAACCTGGAAGACTCCATCCGTAACTTGGAATGGGAGTCCTCAAGCGGTCTAAGACACTCGAAAAAGTTCCTTAAAATTTACGACCAAAACAAATCAAAGTTTTTCCTCGATTTAAGTAAAAACAATCTTCGGATTGTCTCGGGGTTTCTATCAGGACACTGTCTCCTCAACGAACACCTAAGTAGGGTGAAGCTGAGAAACAACGGCGAATGCAGATTCTGTGGGGAAAATGGGGAAACACCAGAATACCTTATCTCTCAGTGCGCCGAGACGACTACCGTTCGTGCCATGAACTTTGGTACAACTGACATCGAGGATAGAAAGCTGGGCTCTGTGGAGCCGTCTCAGACACCGGCTTTTGTTAAATCCCTAAAACTGTATGATGAGTTATAACTCGTTATAACTCAAGAAAGGGGACACACAATAGATCTATAAGGTCGCGGTGATTAAATCCCCTCCTAAACATTCTAAATTCTAGGGTTTATAAGATTTGATGTTACAACAACAAAATCTCAGTTTTAATCATCTGCTGATGATGCTGACATGGTTTGCGAAACGCGCCAGTGTTTAAAAGTAATGTGTTAGTGTGTATTAGTGTTTTATTTTACTCAAATAATAATGTAATTTCTATCATGAAAACTAGAAACATATACTTTATACTTTATGCATTAAAAATAGTATATATTTTTTTAAGCTCTCCCCACCCTGCTTCAAAAATTGCGAAATGCAACTGAGCAATTTTGAAGGTACTTTTTCATTTTAATCATATTCTGTAAATGATCAGTATAATTGTTAGTTTATTTTAGTACATTAAACAAAAAAAAATAACATTCATTAATTCAACTTAATACAATATACCTAGAAATGATTCCTAATTTTCAATCGTATTTTTTTCCAATTATAAAAAAATTAATTGAATAAAAAGGTAAAAAATAATAAATATAAGAAGATGCCTTTTGTTATTTCTTATAAAGGAAAACTGGTAAAATCAATAAAGCTATTATCGAAAGATTTTTAAAATATTTGGAGAAAAGCAAAAATGCCACAAGCACATATTTGTATTTTGTTGTTAATTATTTTAAATCTTGCTTTATTAAATTTATATAAATAAATAAATTTATCTAAGAAATTTATAATATATAAATCATAAATCAAATAATTATAATATTATCAACACAATAAGCTATCAGAAGAGAATAATGCCGATTTCTTTCCTTTCATTTAAATTAAATAAAATTCTTAATCTTAAAAGTAACACCTACAGCTATAATATCCTAAATTACAACTTTTATAAATATATATTTTTTTAGTTTAAGAAATGATATTTCATATTAAAATATATTTCTAATTTTATATCCATAAACAAAAATGTAATGAATATTATCTTAATGAATTTTGTTTTTGTTCAAGCATGTGTCTAAGTTAATTGCAGTTTGTTTGGGATCTGATTGACTAGCTCCACACTCTTCTAATATCAGGTCTACATTGTCTTCTGTTTCAGCTTTCTTTTCAATTCTCTTCTTCAAGTTGTCTTTGTTAATCGTTCCATCTTCGCTAATAATACCCATCACTACAAAAAATATTAAATATAATTATTTGTAAATATAGAGGACATAAATATACTAGGTATTTTTAGAATCAAATTAAGTTACAGCAAAATAAAACATTAATTCACCACAGTTCACCAAAACACTTTACCGTTGCACTGAACGCGTCTGTCGCTAACCATGTCAGCATCATCAGCAGATGATTAAAACTCAGTGAAGTTTGAAAATAATAATAAAACGAAAGAATATTAAGCACTCAGTGAAGTTTTAACCATCTGCTAATGACGCTAACATGGTTAGCAAAACGCGCGGCCGTGCAAAAGTAAATTGTTTTGGTGTATTGTGATGAATCACTGTTTTATTTTGCTCTTTAACACTGCTTGTTGTTTAACTTGTTAACTGTTTTATTTTGTTCTTTAACACCAAACTGTCAACTCTACTAATGAGTTAACTGGACACATATCTCTATAGAAAAGTGCTTCGTTTGTCCCGTTAGAAGGCCAACAATAAAAAATAAATCGAAAAGTTAATTAATTTAATATTTTTAAAGTTTACAGTGAAAAATTATTTGTGACACTGGCATAGCATTCCACATTTTCGTTAACTAGATTATTATCGCCTAACAGATTTTCCTTTTAGGGGATAACTTTTAATGGATAAACCGGGTGCGTCTGAAAAGTGGCTCACCCCTATAAATTTTTATTTTTTTCAGATAGAAAATCGAGATTTGGTACGTTAATATATGAACTAAATTAGCATCAATTAACGTATGCAATTGTTTTTGGTCACTTCCTGTTTCACCGGAAATTTAACCTTATTATTTTTTTTATTTTAAATTAAACTTAGTTTTTTAAATGATACCTTCGGTATATTTTTACTTTATTCGATAGAAAATGACACACACTCTTGATAGAATGACATATCATATGTCAACTCCTGACATTTTCGCTTAAATTTCAATCTAACACAGCCATGGCTGTGTTAAAAACACGAATTTTTAATCAAGGAGCCTTGGAAAAAATAGATTTGATCGTCTAATGTTTTTTGTGTTTTGTCCTGGTCGGTTAAAAGATGCCCAAATCATATTTTTTATCATATCTCAATTTGTTCAAACGGAGCAAGGGTGGCTCATTAGCATATTTGGAAAAAGCATTTTTTAACGAATAATTTGGTACCACACAATTGGAATTTCCAGTCAAATTGTCGTTATGAACCGCATGTTAGAATTTCAAATAAACCATATGCGAAAATGTCGTTGAGTTGAGCTGACATGTGATATGTCATGCTCTCCATAGTACCATTTTCTATCGAATAAAATAGAAATATATTGAGGGTGCCATTTAACAAACCAAAAACAATTGAATACGCCAATCAATCCTAATTTACGTCATATACTATCATAGATAAAGGAAATATATTTAGATTGAAAAGACCGTCAAAATTTTAGGTCGCGAAATTGTTTTGGGTCGCGACCTCTGGCTGTACGCCATCTGGCGCTCCTATAGCCGTTGCTAAGAACAACCTCAAATAATAACAGAAATAATTTTCTCTTGTCAGAATCTAAAAAAATAAAAAAAAAATTCAATATTTAAACCACCCTCATTGAAATAATACCCAAAAATTTTTTAAAGCTCCCATTCTCAAGGTAATCATTGCTATCTTGTGAGTTTAATTTAAATTTTATTTACCCAATTACCTGTGATAACTGTGAAAAAATGGCATTAAAAACTTAAAAAGCTGTGTTGTGAACGAGGTTCCCTTGTGAACTGCAAAACCATCGTGGATCGTGGCGTAACGTCATACATGTCCTTATATAAAATAAAGTTTCTTGTATGCAACACACTGTATTTTATTTATAAAATTAAAAGAAAATAAATTTGAATAAATAATATTTGGCGACATAATTCCGGAAAAAGCCGAACCGATCCGAAATTATCAAAAGCTTTAGATCGCGACCGTTGCAAGAATACCGCCAAATAGTATTTATATTGTCCTTGTGGGCACTTTCCAATCTAAACTTGTTTCATGTATCTGTGTATACTATTATAGGGGTGGGCCACTTTTGAGACGCACCCAGTATAGTCTGTCCATCGACAAAATCCTGGACAGTGATAGATGTGTCTGTCATTTTAATTTCAAAGTAATTTGTTTAATTTTTCAAAGAAATAAGTTATAGTAGAAGTTTTAGTGACAAATGATTACTTCAAAATATTATGAAAAAAAAACTATACAGGTTGTTCCTTAATGAGATGCTAATATTTAAGAGGGTTCTTAGACCTATTAAGAGAATTGAGGCAACTGATATTTAGTTACAATTTACAAGTTATTCAATGTCTACAATTGTTAAAATTTAAATAACTGGATATGTTTTACCTAATTACCCATATGAGATCTAAATCATTTTTTATCATGTTTCTTATCAAAAATTAATTGGGGTTTGGTTTGGTTTGGTTTGGTTTAACTGAGCGTTGTTAATTTTATCATATCAATTTATTAATTTAATTATCATTTTTCTTACCTTTATATAAACATAGTACATGTTCTCCATAGTTTTCAGGAAGTGTTGTCACTTGCTTCTTTTTATATTTTCTTAAAGCTTGTTTATCTAAATGGGTGGTTTCGTTTTTCTGGCATTCTTTATAAGCTTTTTTTATCGATATTTCTTTATTGTCTTTATGTTTCTTCGCTGAAGCACACTATTGTAAAAAATATTTACAAAAATAAATAAAACTTAGAAATAATTGAAAATAATATGTTAGGTATTTGTTATGTTTGCAATAAATATTATTAATTTTTCTGTATGGTAGAATTGCGATAAATATTATTTATTTTACTGTATATAATTGCCAACTGTATATAATTACAACATTACAGCATTGCAATAAATATTATTTATTTTACTGTATATAATTAAATTTTCTGTATTCCTATTAAAAAGTTCATCAGTTTACTTAGTTAATACTTAGTAATATTTTTTAATTTAATTTGTTTCTCTCTATGTCCTTATTATTAAAAATTGTATTTATACACAACCAGATAGACAGGAACACCAGTTAGTTAGAAATTAATTTTCGTATAAGGAACATATTTGTTTATTATAAAGCTGGTAATATGTCATTACAGTTGGGGGTTGGAACCTTTCGTGTTACACAGCAAAATAAAATACTAAATCACCACAATACACCAAAACACTTTTACTTTTATACTGGACGCGCGTTTCGCTAACCATGTTAGTATCATCAGCAGATGATTAAACTAAAAAAGTTTAATCATCTGCTGATGATGCTGACATGGTTAAACTAAAAAAGTTTAATCATCTGCTGATGCTGACATGGTTAGCGAAACGCGCGTCCAGTGTAAAAGTGAAATTGTGGTGATTTAGTGTTTTATTTTGCTGGTAATATGTCTTTTTGGAAAATTGTTATATATGGGAAGAATTGTATTAGTATACAGAGTGTCCCAGGCTGAGCGTGCATTAGAAGTTTCTAGAGAACTACAACATCTAGCTCGGAGATTTTTTGCACATCATAGTTTCACAACGAGATCTATCGATTAAAAATATTTTCAATATGGCGGCACTTCCGGAAATACCGGAAGTTGACAGCAACTTTCTTATTTTAAATGGATGCCCCCATTTTTGATTACATACTTAAATTCTCTGTAAAATTTTATGAATTTTGATATTAAACACTCTAACATTGACCGTTTTTGAGAAAAAAAAATATTTAAAATTTTTGAACGAAAAAAACTACCTGTCAAAAATATGTTGATACCCTAAACGTTAAATTGAGTAATTAACACAGCCACTGTGCCATAAAGATAAAACATGTGGCTATCTATTTCAACAATGAAATTGTTCGAATGTCATATAATATTGGCCGCAGCTGTCATAGAATTGCGCGATTAAAAAATTATCATAAATCATTTTTTTCAAATGGGAACCCGCTTTTTTATTTCACTAGTGAAAAGGTTTATCAATTCGTTACTTTTTGACTATACATGTTCCTATACCTAAAATAAATCGTTTATAAGTTATTTAAGATTTAGTATTAAAGCGTATATTTTTCTTGATTTTAACCAGTAACCTATGACTTTAAACGTCAAGTGATGTAAAACAATACATGTCATATTGTGACTCTTTGTTCAAAAAACAGCATCATTTCCGAGTCAACAACATTTCAACGCCGCTGTTTTTTTCGATCAAACGGAATATTATTAATAACAAAAATTTTAGATATCAGTAAAGAGCGAAAATACGAGATATATTTTTATAAATACACTTTTTAAACTCTTAATCAGACAGTATTTATAATATAGGAAATTCAAGTAATTTGTTTTCTGACAGATGGAAATAAATTGTTTGACCGTTTGACAATGTCAAGGTAAGCTAGATAAAATCAAGAAAAATATTGGTTTTCAAATTAAATCTTAAATAACTTAAAAACAATTTATTTTAGGTACAGGAACATGTATAGTTAAAAAGTAACGAATTGAAAAAGTTTTTCATTAGTGAAATAAAAAAAGTGGGTTTCCATTTGAAAAAAAATGATTTATGATAATTTTTTAATCGCTCAATTCCATGACAGCTACCGCCATTATTTTATGACATTGAACAATTTAATTTTTCAAATAAGATAGCCACATATCTTCTCTTTATGTCACAGTGACTGTGGTAATCACTAAATGTGACTTTTAGGCTATACAATTTTTTTTGACAGGTAGTTTTTTTCGTCCAAAAATTTTAAATATTTTTTTTCTCAAAAACGGTTAATGTTAGGTATAGAGTGTTTAATAAAAAATGGGGGCACCCATTTAAAATAAGACAGTTGCTGTCGACTTCCGGTATTTCCGGAAGTGCCGCCATATTGAAATAATTTTTAATCAATAGATCTCGTTGTAAAACAATGATGTGCAAAAAATCTCCGATTTAGATATTGTGGTTCTCTAGAAACTTCTAATGCACGCTCAGCCTGGGACACCCTGTATATCTTACTATATAGTCAATGTATGAAGAATTCAAATTAAATCACATATTCCAGATAAGTGAAATGGTACTGTCTTATCTTTTATAAGGCGCCAGACACATGTCTTTCAATAATTTGCGTATTAGGATAATATAATATATTTAACAGCTATTATTCTAGTCTTAGCTATGTTGACAGTGAAGTAAAATTAGACGAAAACTATCCGATAATTATTTATTCGATATTATTGAATTTCTATTTAAGTATGTTCACACGTAACAATCAATAAAACAAAGAAAAATGTTAATAAACATAAGAACTATTATTAGTTGGTAGTAGTATCTTAACTCTCAACTGGCATGGTAAATTTTTGTACCGCTTATGGGGTTTTGGGGTCGGATAAACCCCAATCTTTTTTTCAGTTAAAAATAAATGAAAAATCTCTTATTTTATAAAAAGCTTGATATTTTAACACTGTTTACAATATACTGAAACTTGTGAATTAAAAATTTCATTTATAGGTAAAAATAAGGTAAGAAGCATAATTTACTAGTTTTTGACAACATAAATATAAGTTGGCTAAGAAACCCACAGAAATTAAAAACATATACATATTTTATACATATACATATATGATTTCCTGGTATTATTAAAGCACAAAGAACTGAAATATTAAGCTAAAGTAATAGACATAGATATTATTTTCAACAAAACTGCAAATCTTGAATGTATTTAACTTTTTTAAATACAGTTCTTGCTAACATACGATCTGCAGTCATCACACATGGATCGTGCACATTTGGTTCATGAGTTTTGACATATACCACATCTCTTTCTTTTCTGGTATTGATTATTTAGGAGGGATTATTCTACAGGTTAGAGATTCAGAATCGGAGTTATGGTTACTATTCGGAGAAAAATCATTGCCTCGCTGATCTGCATATTACTTAAGTCTCTTTAAGTTCATTAAACCACTCGGTTAATATTTCCTCAAAATTAGAGTCCCCCTGACGCACACTTCTAGAACTACCCACAATCCTAATAATGAAACATTCCTGGCGTGGCGGGGCCACACACACCCCTATACAACTTTACCCCCCGCATGTAGGAACAATACTTGATAAAAACTGGTGCGCCTTTAACAGTTGCATATGGGTACCCTAACTTAAAGGTAAATGGCGCAGCGAGGACTAAATGTTAAACATAAACATTTTACATTTTTATAAGTTTAAATTGTGCTTGGGTTAGTCCTGTATCATATTTTTATTTTAGTAATTATGAGTAAAATATTAGGCATATGCTTTACTAAAGAGCTCTGTAGTCATACCTAATTAAAAAATAAATACATATTCTTACCGTTAGAACTAAAACAACAACACACAATAAAATTACACACTTCATTGTAATATTTTTCAAAAAAAGTACGATCAAAATTTGGTCTTCGATACTTTTTCCTTAGCTTTATTGCGAACTATAAGAAAATTACACTAGCCAGTGGATTTATCGCTAACACAGAGTTTATCATGGTTCAAATGTGGTCACAGCATGCGAAGAAGAATATAAACTTTATGTATACGTTGTTAAGAGAATGAGTGAAATGAAAACAGAACACGATAACACAAATATTTTTGTATGGATTGACCGATTTTTTCGTTGATAATTCAGACTTTTTATAAAAATTGTAACGTTATTAGAAAGTGTAGTAACGTTTAGGAGAAACAAAATTGTTTTTAAATCTGATTCTTGTGATATATGTTATTTTAATTACAATAGTATGTGTATTTTATATATTTAAATATACGTAAATTTATCCGGAATCATCATCATAATCATCATGATTTTCAGTATAATCAATAGGGTGGATCGTAAATATGAAAATTTTAAAATTTTTAAAACATCGACTTGGAATACCTACGAAAAGTTGCCTTTGGTAATGTTGATAAAAAAGTGTTACTACAACTTTTTAATAAAATCACATCTTCTGCCCTCTACCAGCCTTTAAAAAATAATATTTTTTTTTAGAAAAATCGATTTGGAATACCTACCAAAAGTTACCTTTAGTAATGTTGATAAAAAAGTTTATTTAAATTTTTTTGATTAAATCACGTCTTCTACCCTTTACCGGCTGTTAAAATTTGAAAAAAAAAATCAAACCGAGAATAATACTTGCCTGTCTGATGACCTAAAAATGAACAGGTTTTTTTGATAGATCAGAGGGGGCTTAGAAAAAAAGATTATGAATGTTGGTTGGAATGATTGTTTCATAAATAAATGATCCGATGGGTGGTGTGTTTAATATGATAACGCAAATAAAAAAGCTCTTTCAGATTTTAAAAATACTTGTTATGACTTTGGCTACGAAAAATAAACACAATTATCCCTCTTTGTTAAAATAAACGTTTACTTTTTAACCTTTTGTAAGATTTCTAAAATTTCATGTCAGCAATATATTTTGATTTAACCAATGGCCTGGAAACTAGGGAACTAAGAGTTTTCCCATCTTTTTCAAATCGAGAGCAACAACTCTAATCGTTTTGCTGATGCAGAGAAAAATTCTAATAATTTCTTCTTTGAGAAGAAATCTTTAACGTTGGAAAATGGCATTATGAATTAAGCATTTTTTCGAAATTCGATCTTTATAATGTATCGATACGTTTTAGCGGGAAGTCGACCTTTATCTATGAAGTAAACGTAACTAATGTGACAATTTCAAAATTTTAAAAAGTTTATAACGTCAACAATACCATTATGTGTTTGTAAATAAATTGTAATTACATACTTGTCAAACTGACATAGTTTTGTTTTCAAAATTTTATTTTTCTTAAAATTGCTTCAGTTAATTTTTCAGATCGTGACTTCCTTATAAAAAAACACAAAAGTTCTATTTTATTTTATAATCTCTGGGAATTAAAACTAATTATGAATTTAATAAGGATCAAGATTAAAAGATAAACATTATGTAGATGGCGAATTTAATATCATTAATGTAAATAATTATAAATTTTTAAAATTAATGTTAAATTTAGAAAGAAAATTGAGCAATACTATTTATTGCAAACCAAACAAGAGATCAAATATCTACAAGTTGAATTAAAAATGCTTAATTATTAAATTACGATCTAATTTAGAAAAAAAAACTATTTTTAGAATTATTTATATATTAGTAGTCGGGCTTCTTCTAATGAATTAGCAAACTTTATAACTGCGTGAATATTTTTAGTAGAATTGATGTTATTTTTGCAAGGATTTTAGTGCTGGAAAATTAGAATTAAGCGGATGAACAAACATTGTGTAATTTATTCCGAAGGGGTGGAAACAGGTAAACAGTTTTTTCAAAACGAAAGTTCGCTAATCCGGATATTTTTTATCCTTAAAAGTTGTTGGAAAGCACCTAGATGAAGCGCTTTAAACATTTCCACATATTATACGATTTTATTGTTCTCATGAATATATATTAGCCCATTTATTTTAGGTACATATTTTTATCAGATTTAGTTTTACCGTTGAATGTAGGAATAAAGGTAAATATCTACATTCAACCTGGACCTCCCAACGAAAGCTAAGAAATCCGTTATAAAGAGATAGAGAAACCACTTCTAAACAAAAAGTGCAATCACGATCGAAATCTGTCCACTTTTATCCCCAGAGGGCCTTGAAATAGGTGACAAACCGATTGACGACGTCTCTGATGACGGTAGATTTGACAATCTGCCAATAGTCAATGTACGTCAAACATCAAGAAGTGTCACATTTATAGAACAATATTTTATATTTGGAGGACCTCCAAAGGGGGAAAACCAAAGGATCTCTTGAAATGTTACTCATCCCCTATATTTTTTTTATTTTTTCAGATAAAATCATATATAATATTTGGTATATCAGTACAGAACATAAATCAGGATTAAAAAAAAAGAAATAAAAAGGATTGATTGACCTTTTGAATTACCTCCGGTCACTTCCCGTTACATCGGCAATCCCTACAACTTCTGACTTTTAAATGACGCCGATGGTATTTTTTTACTTTAGTTAATAGAATTCTGCATAAAACAACAAATGGTTAACTTTTAACAATTTCTCTAAAAAAATGTATTTTAAATTTTAATCTTGAGTGGCATGACAATAAATATAACGACAATTTGACTCGAAATAACAAGTAGCTGGTATCAAATTATTCGTAAAAAATGATTTTTTCCAAATATGCTAATGATACACCCTCGTTCCATTTGAAAAATTGAGTTATGATTAAAGATCAAAATTCTCATTATACAGGGTGCTACAAATTCGAGGTACAAGCATTGGTATCTTGGTAACCGTAATAGATACGAACATGATTAAATTTGGGCAAAGTTGCGCTTTGACATGTTCACCAAGATGCCATCAAAAAAGTTTTAAAAATTTCAAGAATTGCTGACTTTTTTGGAAAAAACGGATTTTCTTGAAAATCAATTTTATTTTTTCCTGTCGTTACTTTTTAGAAAATCAAAAAACCAATTGCACATTCTTTAGATTTTTAAATTAGCTCATAATTAGAGATACAGAGACCAACTTATTTTTTTTTTCAGGTTTTGAAAGAATTCGGTCTCCTGAGTACAATGATATGCCGCACTTAATATTTTGTTTCGGAAATTTGAACACTATTTAGTTAAACTACTTTCAAGTCCGGCTCTGTTTTTTTTATATTTAATCTATTCACATCGTTACAATATTGATAATCCTTCAAACATAACAATAACGCGGGGTAGAGCAGTATAATAGCCAACCTCGCTGGCTATTATGCCGCTCTACCACTGAGGGGGTCATTACTTGTTAAAGTGAAATCAATAAATTTCAAAATTTACAATAAAGAGTGCAAAATGCATTCGGAAGTATAAGAAGAAGATATGTTCCTTCTTCTTCCTGTGCCTTGTGCTTAGCCGCGCGTTGGCGATTGTCTGTACTCTTCATACAATGTGTAGACTGCCGTTTTCGGCTCTTCGAAATATGGTGGCTGCGTCGCTGATGTTACACCAATCCGGTATGTTTGTTAGCCAGGAATGTTGTCTTCTTCCTGGGCCTCGCCGTCCCTCTATTTTTCCCCTAGATATGTTCCAAGAGCTATAAATAAGATTGAACGAAAAATACATTTGTGCATTAGAGAGGGTGGTCACCCTTTCGAACATGTAGAGCATTAGAAACTAGTTTGTAGAAGTTAGTATCATCGTACGAAGCATATCATTGTACATATATTTATAATAACTACGATCAATATTATGCACATTATTAGATCGTACACTGAGATTTTCAAATTCACAATAAAAAAAGTTAAAAATAATATCTTTAAATTGCTGACCTGGATATTATTTATTTGAATCTTTCAACTGGTCCGATTTTCCTTATCCAATGTTAGTTAGCGCTGATCAATATTGTTGCGATGAATATAATCAGATTAAATAATTTAAAAAACCAGAGTCAGACTTGAAATTATTTTAAATAATTAAATAGATTTGTTATTTGTTAAGGTACCCAAAATAAAAAAAATATTAAGTGTGGCATATCATTGTAATCAGGAGACCAAGTGCTTTCAAAATTTCAAATAAAAAATTCAAGTCCGTGTTTAAAAAAATTAAATTGGCCTCTGTATCTCACAAATTATCAGCTAATTTGAAAATTTAAAAATACTTTTAGAGAGCCCTAATAAAGTGGCTATGATAATGGGCAATTAGTTTTTTGATTTTCTACAAAGGACCGACAGGAAAAAATAAAATTATTTTCAAAAAAATCCGTTTTTTTTTTCCAAAAAACTCAGTAATCCTTGATATTTTCAAAACTTTTTTGATGGTATGTTGGTGAACATCCTATAGCGTAACTTTGTTCCATTTAACCATCTTCGTATAGATTACGATTACCGGGATACCAATGCTCGTATCTCGAATTTGTAGCACCCTGTATAGTCTACCAGTTATGCATTATCAATGTGCCTATATCTATATTATCAGTGGAGAAAAATATCAAAAGACATATATTTTCAAATTATAATGGCTTTAAAATTTGAATAAATAACTTAGTGTCTAAACAATCTTTGTACCTATACGTATTAATCGGATATACATTTTATTATCAGGGTAATTCAATAGCTGTAGTTTTTATTGATCACAATTGAGACATAAGTTTTATTTCTTTTTTGAATTTTTTATACAATTCATTTAAGTTAGTACAGAGGAAAACATAAACTCACATAAAATTAAGTAAAATATATATTTATTCAGACACATTTACATTCTTACTGTTTGCTAGTCTTGTGAGCGAAATATTTGTAATAACATTTGAAAAGATTTATGGCGGTTTCCTTTTCATTCTCTTTGTCCACAACGCATTCGGCGTGGATTTCGTCCAATTTAGGGGTCTGACCCAAATACAGCACGATTTTTTCCTTGACGGATTCCTTGTTGATCTTGCCGTCCTGATGCTGCCAGCCCAGTGTTTTCGAAACACACAGGGCGTGGATTTTTATTCCCTCGGTTACTTTATGCTCCGTTTTGTAAGCTTTTAGCTCTTCCTCGTCGGCGGCCGTGGCCGGATCAGTTTGACATTTTTCGTGGGCTTTCTTGAATTTTTCTCTACCCTCTTCGGCTGTGATGGCCTTAAAAGTCAAGTCGTTTTATTTAGATTTATAATATGCATTTGTTTTTATATATTGGAGATATCTTTCTTTTTCTTAAACATTTATTCAATATTTCAATTGTGATTTTCTTGGGTAGAGGTTTCTTTATTAAAAATTAAGAAAGATTTGCTTAAAAAATCGAATGATGAATCGAAAAATGTCAGCAAATAAATGATTTAAAACATCCACAAATCATTTAATTTTTAATAAAGAAACCTATACCCAAGAAAAGCACAATTGAAATTTTGTTTTTATTGGTAGATAGATGGTATTCTAATTTGATATCTATATACTCGTACATATCCAATATTATTGAACTTGTTCTTGTATATGGGATGTCTCTTAAATAAGTGCAAGTATTTTAACAGGCTAGATCTCGACAAAAAAATATACACTAACCGGCACGAGAAACGGGTACCTTAAAATTTTGATGTATTTTAAAGTTTTATATATAATGTTCTAAGTGGGTCAATTTTAATTATTTTTTAAGCAATTTATATATAGCTAACTTATTTGATTTTTTAGTATTTCTTTCTAAACTAAAAAATTAAAGTTTCCATCTGCCAATTATAGAGAGGAAAAGAAAATGTCGATATTTTGGTCAAAGTTTGGTGGAACACCCTGTGGAACATGTTAGCAAAACAAGGAATTTAGAAATAACTTTATCGTCTAAGTGCATATACAGGGTGTCCCAGGCTGAGCGTGCATTACAAGTTTCTAGAGAACCACAATATCTAGATCGGTTATTTTTTGCACATCATTGTTTTACAACGAGATCTATCGATTAAAAATATTTTCAATATGGCGACACTTCCGGAAATACCGGAAGTTGACAGCAACTTTCTTATTTTAAATGGATGCTCCCATTTTTTATTACATACTTAAATTCTCTGTAAAATTCTATGAATATTGATGTTAAACACTCTATATCTAACATTTACCGTTTTTGAGAAGAAAAAAATATTTAAAATTTTTGAACGAAAAAAACTGCCTGTGAAAAATATGTGTATAGCCTAAAAGTCAAATTTAGTGATTACCACAGCCACTATGCACAAATTTATTTCTATCCCCTTCAAAATTAGTGATGGTGAAAAATTGGCGTATTTGAGGTATATACCTCAAGATACTTAGCTTTTTATGTTCTACCTTTTGCCGGTTTTACGCTATCTGTACCAATAAATAAAATAGTCGGTTTAAAATTTAATTAAGTTCGATGTCAGCCCTGGGGCTAAATGATCTTAAGTCACGTAAACGTAATTTAGTTCAAACATCTTTGGATCGTTTAATATGTTATGTCCACGGGTCAACAGTGACGAAAATTTATTTTGACAGTTTTGCTATTGTTATAGGGTAGTCAATTTAAACTTAATAAATAAAGTAAATTGGTTCCAAATGGCAACATACATTCCTGTTTTACAATTTCCTGTGAAATGGTTTCTCATTATATCAGTAGTATACTTTTATTTGGGCTTAAAATGTTTTTGCTTTATTGATTTTGGCATGAATAGGGACTTAATATAAGGTAAGTCCTGTAAATGTTTTATTTCTAATATACAAATTATGTTAAAAAGTCACTCAAAAGTCATTTAAAAAAAATGTTTTACATTTTATTTCAATTCAAAATAAGTTGTTCATGCACATGTAGTAATTAGGAAATAACTTCAAAAAATAACTTTAAATTCGTTTTTCTCAAAACTATGTTTTGTGACATAATATAGTTTGCTTCTGGGATACAGATATGTACAGAAGATGAAGAACTAACCTCAGTGATGAGGTATTCTGGTTAGAGGTGTGTAGTTTACATATAAATTTCCCAGAAATTTAAAAAATATCAAATTTTCAACAGCTTTTGTTTTTAAATAAACTTGCATGTTTACGATCGAAAAAGAACGGCGTCAGTGACGGCTTGTAAATGAAGGTCGGTAGGTATGTAAAATTATATGAGGAATGTCAAAAAAACTTGCACTTATTTAGTAAAAACTAAAAACCCTTAGATACATTTTCAGTTTGTAATGTTTACTTATTATTTAGGGAAATATAATTTATAATGTATATTAACAAAAATCGAGTGTCTTATATTAATTTTATAATTAGTTAATAAGTATACTTACGAAAACAACAGCAAAAGCTAGACATAAAACGACAGCAACGGACCACTTCATCGTCAGAAATTTGAGAATATCAAGGTTGTGACCAAGGTCTTTTTAAACAGTGAATATTTAAGAAAATGGTTGCTGTTTCGAAGACCTTTTTGTATTTATAGTCAGCGTGAAGCCGTTAAGACAAACACGTTTAATCGGAGGGTCAAAAATATTATTAATAAAGTCTGGTATCGTTGGTGAGGTCGAAAAACAAACAAGCCTTTTTCTACCTTATCGGTACATTGTTTTAAAAAATCATTGAATTGTGTTAATAATGGAAATATACTTTAATTACTTAAAATAAACAGTATTTTATTTAAATCTCTGTCTAACACTTCGTTAAACGTATACACTGGATAATTTTATTAATCGGTCAAAGAATGAAAGAATGTAATTCATAATATGGATTGGTAGATTGGATATCGTGGGACGTGGGAGGGCAATTTGCGATAGCTTCACAATTGAACCATGGTGGATAATTTTTTATAGCTCTGCAATTCAAATATCAAAATTTTATGTCGAGACTTTGTTTTGTATACACGAAAGTCATGATTCATAAGAATGGCTGATAATAGGTAAATTGATAAAAAAAACGCCAAATATGTGACCTCTTGTACAGGGTGTCCTATTCTCGTGTGTTTTATAAGGTTTCTCGTTAGAGATACAGAGATGCAGTTTTCACATCACTATGCTTTTTTTAAGAAACTAAATATGCTACACACAGATTTGTCCTAGCTCCCTTGGCTACTGAAATACAGAGCGCATTTGAAAATGTTACATTTTTTGACCCCTTCGTATCTTGGTCCTCTTATAACTTATCAAAAAGGTGGGATGCTGATTTTTTACCAAGAATCCAGTGGTATAACTAGTTTTTGCTGGGGGCTGTCATTTTTGAAATTGTTTTAAGTATATTATTTTAATTTAAATTATTTAAAATAGTGTTTGAAATTTTAAACACTATTTATTATAAATAAATCTAGTTTAAAAGGGTAATATTATTTTAATTAATTTAATTTTACCAGATAATTCTGCGTTCAATCATTATTCATCGTTGAATAAATTATTTGATTGTTTTCAATGCCTAATTTAAACCGGCCCGCCGCCTAAGTTAAAAAATTAATTTTTAAGTTATTTATAAAAATAAGTATAGTTATAAGTTATAAGATAACCGAGATACAAAAGGAGTCGAAAAATGCAACAATTTCAAATTCGCCCTGTATTTGAAGAACAAAGAGGGATAGAACAAATCTGTGTACAGCATTTTTAGTTTCACAACAAGTAAGATAGTAATGTGAAAACCTTATCTTTGTACCTTTAATAATAAACGAAAAAACCTGTAAAGCACACGAAAATTGGACACCATACAGAGGGGTGATTCCGTTCTCCGTATAAATTTGTATCTTCTCTACTAGTATTGGTTGTTTGTGGCCGTATAATATGCATCTTTTAAATGGAACTACATATCAATAGCACAATCCTGACAAATATTTTATAATTTCTTTTACAAACTACACTAGAAAAAAAATATATAAGTCGGTTCAGAACGTTTTACGACGTTTTCCGACACCTAACCTCCACTCTTCTCTATTTAGCCAGAGATCATCAGGTATTGCTCTATTTTTCAGTTCTTTATCCACACCCTCCCTCCAGGTTAGTCGTGGCCTTCCTGTTTTATTTCTGCCTCACAATGTCCACACATGTTTTGGTATTCTGTGGTCGGGCATTCGTTGCAAATGACCAAACCATATGAGTTGTTTTGTTCTTATGTCGTCCACAATTGTGTGTTCTGCTCCCATAATCTCTCTTACTCTGATTTTTTTCTCTTATCTATTTCCCAGCAGATCTCCTCCAGTAATCAATTTCGGTCGCTAATAGCATGTTCTCCGTTCTGCTTTTCAACTACCATATTTCGCTTCCTTAAGTTATTATGCTTTTCACTACGGTATTATAATATATGTTCTTCTTATTAGCTTTAGAAATTCCTTGATCCCACAGTACACCACTCAATATAGATATTGCCCTCCTGCCTTGCATTATTCGATCTTTTATACCCTCTTTTTGGGCACTAGAAAAAAAAAATTGTAATATTCTTTTCTAATCTTAAAAAACTATATTAAGTCTGATGTCATCCAACTATAAATAAACAAACGACTTGTTTACAGTTTGCCCGTATATGTTGGTTCAAAACAAAACAACGTATATGATTAGTCTATACCGGGTGGTGCATCGCCGTTGGAAACAGTAGATCCTATGCAAATTTTTAACTGTCTAAATATTGGCTCCCCTAGTAATTATACAGCTAAGTCATAAATATAAGTTTTTAAAGGTCTGTCTATGCTGAATACACATGCAAAATTTAAACAATTTTGGACTAGCCCATTTTAAGTAATTTAAGACAAAATGCATGTTTTCTAATTAAAAATGAACAGGTAACAATGTAAAACCAGGCAAATGCCTACGTACCTTAAGTTGTCATCCTATTATTTTTTCAATGTCAAATTGTATTTTCCGAGGTATTTTCTAAATGTTAGGCTGCTGCCTTATTCGAACAACTTTTACATTACAAGAATACGATTACATTACAAATTTCGAGAATATTAAACGTAGGTACTATAATGTAGTAGTGCAGACAGCACAACAAAATGCATTTGACAATTATAAAATCACGGGTTGACAATTTAAGGTATGTTGACATTTGCCTGGTTCAGTTTTAATTTACCTATTCATTTTTAATTTAACAATAGATGCAGTTTTTCTTAAATTACTTAAAATCGGCTTGTTCAGAATTGTTCAAATTTGGCATGTGTAATGTGTATTCAGTATAAAAGCATAATTCGGCTGTAAAATTAATAGGGGAGCCAATATTTGGACAGTTCAAAATTTGCATGGGATTTCCTATGTTTCCAACAAAGATGCACCCGGTATAATAGTTCTAATAATTAAAAACAACTGACCGATAAGTCCTATTGCCTATATTAAACTTAACACCCTAGCTTTTTTCTCATCTAATAAATATTTTTATATACGAGTTGTGATACAAGTATATAAGTATCGATAAAATTTAGCAAAGTGTAAAATTTAAATTATTAAAATTAATATGTATACACCACTTTGTCAAGAACCAAGAGAATGTGGTTTCGTTTAATATTATATTGATAATGTTTAACGTTGCAAACATTATTAAACTGATTAAAATCATTCATCAAATTCAAAATTAAATGAGATTTGGTAAATATGGCAACACTAAAAACTCAACTCTCAATAAAATATCTATTATTAACTATATGAAAATATAATTATTTACGAAACGATTTAGGCAAGACTAGGTATATCGTTTATCGACGAGGTCAAAATCAACTTATTTAAAGCACTTTAATTATTATGTATGTTATTAATATGTATTAACATAAAAATGCATTTTGTTGTGTCCAAAATTAACAAAAGTAGTAGCAATAATTAATAATAACTTGTAATAAATAATCTCGTGTACCGCAGTTTACTGATATTGTGGACGTTTAATGCAGGGCCTGTCAACAACAGCCCAAAATCCAGCACATGTTGCATACTGTCACAAGTTATATTTATCGACATAATGCCGCACATGCTGCATACTGTCACAAGTTATATTTACCGACATAATGCCGCACATGCTGCATACTGTCACAAGTTATATTTACCGACATAATGCCGCACTTACAGTTCACTATTACCATTGGACACATCTCTATTACCATTTGAGATATTCTCTATTTTCATTTGAAATACAAAATAGATAAACATTTGTGTTGCTATAATATGGCTCTATATGAAATCGAGGCCGAGGGCGAAAACGATAACAGCAGAATCTATCGGAATTGCGCGTTTGCAACTGTGAATAAGGTTTAGTATTACACGCCTGATATTGTTCTCTTAGACCAACAAACAAGCAACATATTTGTCATTGAGTTTTCTACTCCAGCAGAAACCAACGTATTAGTCAAAGGATAAGCAAATAAAGTGTTTGGAGCTGATCGGCCAATTGCGCTGGCTATATTCCCAATATTTTGTTAATTAAAATGGTTTTTCTAATTGTCGGCGTTTTGGGAGGGATGAGAGATCCTGGATAAGAGAACTTCGAAAAATGCTATCATGCATGCCGAGATTCATCCTGGCAGCTCACGATGAGTATGCACAAGGCAGTGGTTCCTGTGTCCCTTCGTCTTTTGGGGCAAACGATTATGGCTGACGATCACTGCGGTGATCGTAGCAAAATAACCTTTAAAGCAAGCATCACATTTGAAGACTACACGGCAAAAACCAGATATGTCACATTTTCATAGAAATTAAGATGGTGACTTAATAATAGCGTTTTTCGAGGCACCGTCAAAGAAAGCAATAATACGCTTAGTCCCAGAGATATTACAGTTTGATTATTTTGCCGTACAAGGAAAAAACCAGATATGTCCTTACGCATGGGCGACAAGCATGCATCTTGCAGTTAGTATTACATGTATTCTAATAAAACCTACCTTAAATTTTAATTTTCTTCTTACAACAAAAAAATAGTAGTTAAGATTTAGATTTTATACAACCATTAACTGGACATCTCTGATTTTTTTTTCTTCTATTTTGTTTTGAATTTTGACATTTTTACTATCGGTAATTAACAATATTGCGATAATTAACAATATTAATAATTCGGAATTGGTAGTAATATATATTTTTCGAATTATTCAACACTAAATTGCATTTTTCTCGGCTCCAATTAAAATGGACAAAGGTGTTTTTTCCCGTGTAGTCTTCAGCTTATTCAACCAATTCCAATTATGGCGTAGCCTCCCTCACATACTATCTTTGTAGTTGCGCCTCTTGTTGTCTATTGTTGGCTATGCGGGCCCAAGTTATCCCTGCTAATTTCCTAATATCATGGTCTCATCTCAAGTTCGGTCTTCCTCTAGGTCTCTTAATTCCTCGTGGGTACCATGGTGTAATTCTTGCAGTCTATCTATTGCCCGTTCTTCGTGCCCTGGCCATTTGCCATTTGAGGGATTTGACTCTGTGGATGACCTCGATTACCTGGGTCTTTCGTCGTATGCACTCTATTCTTTTACGGTCTCTCTTGGTTATTCCCAGCATATTTCATTCCA